AAACCCATTTCAATTTATACCCATCTTTTAATAATTCAACCAACTTACTGAATATTTGAATAAAATTTTTTAAACCACTCAACTCTCTTGAAACATTCGAAATATTCAGACTAAAGATTTCTTAGCATTCTTTCTTTTGGACTGCGGCGTCTTTATATTTCATATACTTTTTGAATTAGTTAATTGAGTTAGACCTTTCAAACATGATTGTTAACTCTCCTTCGACGGAAACTACGATACTACGATACATATTTCAATTAATTGATTTGGCATTCCCGCCAAACTGATACGGCTGTATAAAATGACGTTGAGCAATACCACCAGCTCCGTCAGAAATGGGAAAGACCTCTCCGAGCCGTTCGCCACCAAACGGGGCTTCAGACAAAGCGACTCTCTTTCATGTGACTACTTTAATCTGATGTTGGAGAAGATAATAAGAGCTGCAGAACTGAACTGCTCAGGAACAGTTTACTACAATTGCTGGCTTATGCCGATGACATCGATGTCATCGGCATAGTTGCCAACTTAGTGCTTTAAGCCGTAGATTTAGTGCTTTTTGAAAACTAAAACGCCAAAAATAATGGTTTAGTGCCTAATGCCCTTTTTAGTGCTTTTTTCTGAACTAAAATTTTTGAATTTACAAGAATCTACAAATTTAAATACACTAAAATGCAAACCATGATTGGTAAAAAGATGAAGTTGCAATTGTATTCGCGTTGAAAATGCTAGCACGCAGATAAGTTAAGTATTTATTTTTTTATTTTCTTGATTATTGATTGATTACACAGTACGAAAAATTTTAAATTTTTTTGCCACCTGAGTGGAACCGTTTTGTGTAGATTTTTCGGTGCTGAATCCAAATCTAGCTGCTGTTTCGCAAGCATGAATGTGTATTTATTTATACATGTAAATATTGTATATTTTTTTACTTTTGTTTACCACAAACTATTATGAGAAAGAGTATCCTTTGATAAAAAAAAAATTTAGTGCTTTTATTGCGGTAAAACGCTCTTTTTTCCAAGGTTTGGTGCTTTTTGAAACTGAAAAGTTGGCAACACTGGTCATCGGTGTCAAAAACCTCGAAGTCAGTTCTCTTTCCAAAGAAAGTATCTCCTGTCATCAAACAAACAATCAGCACATTCGCACCTTGGCACCCACGTTACTGTTGACAGTCATAATTTCGAGAAAGTTGAGAATTTCGTTTACTTCGGAACCAGCATTAACACGGATAACAATGTCAGCATTGAAATCCAACAAAGGATCACTCTTGCCAACAAGTGCTACTTTGGACTGAGTAGGCAACTCAGGAGTAAAGTTCTCTCTCGACGTACGAAAACCACACTCTATAAGTCACTCATCACGCCCATGCTGGTATATGGCGCAGAAGCATGGACAATGTTGTCCGATGAGGCGGCTCTTGGAGTATACGAGAGAAAGATTTTGCGGGCCTTTATGGTCTGATTATGGCAACTTAACGAAACTTATGGCTCTCTCTCAAAAATTCTGTTAAATGGATGTTGCTTATATTTGAACAGCGGAAACTTAACGTGACGTAATGCCACGTCGAAATCTGTTCAATTAAGTTAAGTTGCCATAACCAGGCTTTTAGGCGTTGGCGACGGCGAGTAACTCAGGCGATAAAACGATGAGCTGTATGAGATTTACAACGACATGGACATAATGCAGCGAATTAAAATACAGCGGCTCCGCGGGCTTGGTCATGCCGTTCGAATGGACACCGACGCTCCAGCTCTGAAAGTATTCAACTCGGAACCCGCTGGTGGTAGCAGAGGAAGAGGAAGGCCCCAACTAAGATGGAAAGACCAGGTGGAGAAGGGCTTGGCTTCACTTGGCGCCAGTTGGCACGGAATAGAAACGACTGGCGTGCTTTGTTGAACTCGACCAAAATCGCTTAGGCGGTAACAGCGCCAAATAAGAAGAAGAAGATTAATTAAGTGGAAATTTAATTTTCAAACAACCCCGCTAAATACAGTTCAGAATTAAAAAAAATACAAACCCCCTTCGATTGATACCCATATTTTAATAATTCATTTAACTTATGAAATATTTTCAATTTAACTTTTTGAACAGATGACGCCTCAAAAATATTCTTTAAGTTCAAGCTAAAGATTTCCTAACACTCCTTCGTTTGACATCCATATTTTGATATTTCGTGTAACTTGTGTATAAGTAAACTAAATTCGACATTTCTAGCAGGTGGAAACCCTCGTAAATATTTGCAAACTACTCTGTGAAACCCCTCCCGTTTGGCACCCATATGTTGATACATATTTCTCTTACTTAATATGATTTTTTAACCAGGTGGCAATCCTCCTATACTTCAGCTAAGAAACAAAGCTTTTTAAAACCATTTCGATTGATACCCATTTTGTAATAATTGGTTTATTTTTTTAAATAATTTGAGTATAATAAAAAAAAGTTGGCAACTCTTTTCAAAAAAGTAAAACCTATTGCACATCTTCAGTCCAAGGCTTTTAGTTTGACGCCTCATTTTGGAAAATCGAACGAACGGTGCGGATTTGATGGCATTAACTATTAAATAAATTGAGTTTAACTTTTTAACAGGTGACAACTATTTTCGAAAAACTAAAAACAGTTTGCACATCTACATGCCAAGCGCTTTCATTTTTCATCTCATTTTTGAAAATCGAACATTACAGATCTTTTATCCGGAACAAAAAATCTCTTCGCATATTATATATATAGATTCTCAACCAATAATAAGATTTGGTGTTTCACACAGCAAAAAGAAAAAAAGTTCACATAGAAATATTTGTCTGAACCTAAAACTTCCAATAGAATTTTCTTTTGTCTTTAAGAGCGAGAAATATTTTATTTTGCAACATAAATCTCATCGATTGAATAATATGAAAAATAGTTATTTGAGGAGGCTTTCTATGAAAGTGTTTAAAGTAATACAGACAACTGTTAAAAGCGAACAAAAAGTTCTATTTTTTTAACAAAAGGGCTGTTCAGGATATTATGGAAATGGTCTTGAATTTACAATTGGAGCTACCGACTACTTTTTTTACTCGAATCGTTGTTTCGATACCTACTTGGTATCGAAAGAAAAGTGCTTGCATCGAATCGATTTGAGCAAGTGCCATATCTTGTCGGCCAATTTTGGAAAAACTTTGCACAGCGTCGTTTTAATGAAAAATAACTCCTTTAAGCAATAACACCGCCAAAAGCTAAAGTGTGGATATATTTTTACAAAGTGATTTCACAGCAAAATGCAAGCAATGCTCTGTAGCCGCAAAGTTTTGTGGGAACGTTTCAAAGGTTAAATTTTTTGTTTACGTAATTATATTACCTCTAGCGTTACGCACTATCTCAGAAGACTTTTCAAGAATGCCCTATTTAAAAATTTGGTTCAAAACTCCGCCCTACCTCAACTGAATATATATTGAAAATATTTGAGATGAACTTTTTTGAATCGGCAGCTGAGATAGGGCGTTTTTAACCGAATTCTAAAATAGGGTATTCTTAAACAAAGTAAGTGCGCCTGGGCAACACTGGAGAAGTAAAACTTACGTTACAGATGTATTTTGTCTCATAACCAATACATACATGTGTACATAGATACACACATCTGCTTTTGCTTAAGGTTATATTTTTTGTCTTTTATCTATCTAGATCCATACCTCTAGCCCTGTTCGTTGTAACCACATTTATGTTATTCTGTTTTCCTTTTTCTTCATTTTTATCTTTATACTTTATCAATAACAAAATCGACAGTAACATCCAACAAAACATCGATAACAAAACCGGCAAAAATATCGATAACAAAATCGACGACAAATTCAATAAAAATTTCGATAGCAAAATCGATAATATTGGTAGTAAAATCGATTAAAAAACGATAACAAAATCGATAAAAATATTGATAACAAAATCAAAAACAATATCGATAACAAAATCTCGATAAATAATCGATAAGAAAATCTACAAACAGTCGATAACAAAATCGATAAATAATTGATAACAAAATCTATAAATTAGCGATAACAATATCGATAACAAAACCGGTATAAATATCGATTATTATATCGATAATTCCCGAGAATCCCGAAAGTCTCTAAAATCCCAAAATAGTTCCCAGATTGAGCCTCTTTGTCTCTATCTATGTATATCCATTTCCCTGTAATTACCTTTATTTCAATCTCTCTTTTCGTCTATCTTCATCCTTACTTTTATCGGTATCCTCATCCTCATCTTTTTCTTTATATTTATATTTGTTTTTACTTTTATGTTTATAATTTTCTTCATCTACATACATATTCCCCTTCACCTTTGCCCTTATATAAGTAAAGTGTTTAAATTTACCTTGGTCTTCATTTTTGCATTTATCTTAACGCATCTTTGTTTTTATTTTTACCTTTGCCTTTATCCGTTTCTTTATCTTTGTACGTACTCACCTTTGCTTTCATTCTTGTATTAGTCTTTTTCTAAGTGCTATTCTTTATCCTTTTATTAGCAAGTTTTTGTTAAATTAATAACACACATCCAAGAAGCACTTGTTTCCGTCCCAACCATTTCCGTTGCGCCATTTCCGTGTGCAATTTCCGTTGAATTTGCCAATTTACTCCCAACCAACCAACCGCCACTAAAGAAGTTTCACTTCAAAAATTTCTGACAGTCAAGCTTGACAATTTCTAATGTACATAACTCTTATTCATAAACTGCTGCTCAGCATGTTTACATATTTAATTCAGTGTTAATATTAAAGCATACGTTCAGGAGCCATTTCCTCCCCATGTAGGCATTTTTATTAGTGTAAATTTTTTCGTTTAATTTTAAATCGATTTGAAATTTTACTAATTTTTTCCACTTCAGCTCAAAATACCTTTGTATTCTTTATTCCTTAAAAGTATAGTTTAGCTGTAAAAGGGTTTAAAGAAAACATGTTCGCCATATATATGATATATATGTATATACATACATCGAATTTGTTTAACCCGGAACTTTGATTTTTGTAGATTTAAATACGGAATATTTAGACTTTGGACGCGGTTCGCAGATGACTGCATCGCGGACGAAACGGATGCGAACGTCATTCAAGCATCATCAATTACGCACAATGAAGTCTTACTTTAACATAAATCACAATCCAGATGCCAAGGATTTGAAACAACTCTCCCAAAAGACTGGGTTGCCAAAGCGAGTTTTACAGGTACATGTGCACATAAATTAATATTATATTTTTTCAAATAGAGAACGACCCAGCATCAATTTTTGTGGCCAGTTTGAACCGAACTCCGAAAAATGTTTCACTGTTCGCCAGAACTGAACCGATTCAGGGTACAAAAACCTTGTGTTTTAATTTTTATCTTTTTCATCAAATTTAAGAATTAAAATAATACTTAAGCTTCCTTTTTATTTCAATAAATAACGCTTATGAAATGAGTTTTATTTTTCGTTCAGAAATAAAACTTACGCGGTTAGTTTTATTTTTCCGTTTTAAAATAAAAGTCAATCCTGTAAGTTTTATTTATCGTTCGAAAACAATTGTTATTTCGTAAGTTTTACTTAAAAATCACTGACCTTAGTTTTTAGGCCAAAGATATAACGAGTGTTTCCTCATAGGAAATGACGCCCGAAAAAACACAAACAAAGCCAATGGGGTTTACTTAAAATAGGTTCTAAAACGACATTTTGTGCCACCGCCTCTGGCCTGAAAACTAAGGTCAGTGATTTTTAAGTAAAACTTACTAAATAACAACTATTTTTGTACGATAAATAAAACTCATTTCATAAAAATAAAACTCAAAAAGTAAGTATTATTTTACGAGCAAACATAGAACTCATGAAATAATTATTAAATTTGATGAAAAACATAAAAATTATAAAATTCAGGTTTATTGCACAAATTAATAGATCTAAAGGACGATCATTTTCATATACTACGTCATATATTTCTGAGCACTCCTTCATGTTGATTTATTTGAAACAAATTTGCACCAGAACAGTTATTTGCGGTCTTTGTTAATAATATAATAGGCCTGTTCAGGGCATTGTGCAAATGGTCTTGGATATCCGTTCGTAAATTTTATGCTTGCTACCATGGCAACCCTTGCAAATTATTGGTGTGAATTTATAGTACAAAAGCACCGAAATATGCAAATGCAAGATCATATGCACAAGATCCTGAACAGCATTATCATTTTGGCGCTTACACTTTGGCTAATTGTCTGACCTAGCTTCTCCTACAATTTGTGGTGTGCATCCTGATGTTATTACCAAGGCTGGCAAATCTATGCAAATGCTTGAAAAAGCTTATTTTGCATATATTAGACAATTTTCTTGTTTTTTCATGTATTTTTTGAGGAAAGAGACGATAAAAATGCGTGAAACAAGGCGAATTCATACATACATATGTGTGTTTTTATACTCCTCCACCTCCTACCATCTTGTACGAATTCTTCTTGTAACAATGCAAGTTACATATGTATATGTACATATAAGCCGTCATCGATTCGCCACTTCGCTGCTTGCCATGTTTGAGTTCCGGTCGCTTACCGAAACATTTTGCATGTGAAAGCAACAACAAAGTTAGCTAGCACGGATAGACGATAGCAAGTTTGGTTGTACCTCATTGAGTTCGTTCGTTTCGCCACTTGCTAACTGTTGGCGAATCGATTACGGCTATAAATTCATAATGCTAGAGCTTGAAGAAATCCGAACAGATTTGGGGTTCATTAAGGCAAATTTTGGTAGTTTGATAGTAGGTGTAACAAAGCTTCCAACGAAAGGTTCAATGTCAAACAAAGAAAGTTTGGAAATTGCGACAACTGTGAAATAGCAATACCAAATATTGAACATAGAGATGGCACGATTAATCAAATAACCGACTATAATCGATTATTTTGATTCGGTTAACGATTTAATTGTATCGAAATATTCCTTTCGATTAATCGACCGATGAACCGGTTAATTTTCAAAATAATCCAAAAGAAACCATCGAAAATTGACTACTTTACTCACATAATGTATGAATTAAAATTACGTAGCAAAAATTGGCACTCTTACCACTCAATACTTATGTATAATTGTTTGGGACATTTTTTACATTCTATTATTCTGCAAATTTTTAAACGATATTTTTAGCAAAAAACCGCAACACTAACTAACCTATGCATGTGGGCCAATCTAAACAACACGAACACTTTCGAAACAAAAAGTTTAATTTTTTAATTTGTGGACACACCTATGTTTTATAAATGATTCTATTCGTAATATCTTAATAAATCGATAAATATAAGTGGAATTCATTTTCATCAAGTGCTTCAAAAGATAGACGAGGAATAAACCTTTAGATCGCTGAAATAGAAAACAAAATAATAAGCTGTGTTCAAATTACGCTGTGCAAGTTGTAAATTTTGAGCAAAAGTTCAACTCACTTAATTGGGACGTTCTGAATTTAATGGTATCTCCTGTTTTACCAGATTGGATCCGAGTTTCGAGATAACGGTACTTGAAAATTTGATTAAATTTTAACTATTTCCCTCAGTTTTGAAGTTATTTTACTAAAATTTTGCACATAAAGTTATCGAAATAGGTTTACTTTAACATATAGCTCCAATGCAGCTGATTACTCAGATATGTTTTTGCGCCATAACTCTAACTTCGTATCTGAATAATAAGTTGTATGCGTGCTATATGTTAAAGTCCTTTAACGGATGGTATACAACTTAACATCTTTTTTATTTATTGTTTCCTTTCGTTTTTAGTTTTCTTGATTGTTTGCGCAATGAATTCGTGGCGCAAGTTTCCACAACTTAACAAGAAGTGTATCTTTAAATAAAACAGTCAGTTTTTATAACTTATGGATTTTACCCGAGACGACCGATTAATCGGTTAATTTCTTAATATTAATAAAAAATAATAATAGATTGACGCTTACACATATGCACTGCTTACCACTACAGAACAGCGGTCGCCATTGCAATTATTATCGAACGCTTTTGATTAATCTTCTTCTCTTCTTACTTGACGCTGTAACCGCCTAAGCGATTTTGGCAGAGTTCAACAAAGCACGCCAGTCGTTTCTTTCTGTGCCAACTGACGCCAATTGGAAATGCCAAGTGAAGCCAAGTCCTTTTCTCCCTGGTCTTTCCATCTCAGTGCGGGCGTCCCTCTGAGCTGGAGCGTCGGTGTCCATTCAAAGGACATGGCCAAGCCAGCGGAGCCGCTGTATTTTAATTTGCTGCACTATACCCATGTCGTTCAAAAGCTTATACAGCTCTTCGTTCCATCATCTACGGTACTCGCCGTCACCAACGCGTAAAGGCCCGTAAATCTTCCGCAAAATCTTTCTCTCGAATACTCCAAGAGCCGCCTCATCGAATGTTGCCATTGTCCATGCTTCTACGCTATTTACCAGCACGGGCCTGATGAGTGACTTATAGAGTGTGATTTTTGTACGTCGAGAGAGGACTTTACTCCTGAATTGCCCGCTCAGTCCAAAGTGGCACTTGTTGGCAAGAGTGATTCTGCGTTGGATTTCCATGCTGACATAATTATCGCTATTAATGCTGGTTCCCAAGTAAAATATATTCTCTTCTTTCTCGAAATTATAACTGGGAAGAGTGACAGGAGATACTTCGTCTTGGCCTCGTTTAACACCAGACCCATTTGTTTTGCTTCCTTATCCAACTTTGAAAAGGCAGAACAGACTTCGCGGTTGTTGTTACCGATGATGTCGATGCCATCGGCATAAGCCAGCAATTGCACGCTCTCGTAGTAAATTAACCGATTAGTCGATTATTAAATTTTTTTTGCCATCACTAGTTGAACACAAATTAAAAAAAAATTAAAAAAAAAACTTTAAAATACTTTGACCGAAAACCCTGACTGTACCACAGTTATTAATATAAAGGCTATATTATTTAATGGCTCTACAATTAAGAGTGAAGATCTATCGAATTACTCCACAGCAGAATTAACTTGATTTAAATCTTGTCCAAATACATCTCCGGATGTGGAAAGCAGATTTTTGAATTATTCAGCAGTTTTAAATGATCAGAAAAGGTCATATTAGTTGATAATTTAAAAAGGCATGCTACTTTAGTGGATTAAAAGTATTGAAAAATTAAATAAAACTCCATTGAGTTTGAATATTTAAAAGCGTATTTTAGTGATTTATCCAGGTTTTTATGGCGCATATTTTCAGTTTTTTCTTGCATATTTTGGCCAGCCCTGGAGTGACCTACAAGTCTACGCCTAATGGTCTGATTATGCATACTTCGCATAACTTCGCACAACTTCGCATAAACTTCAAACTGTAATTACGTATGTACTTTGTATGTATTTTGTATGTATTCCATTACCCAGAAATTAGCAGAACTTTTAAAAACTTAGCGATCTGTTGAGTTTAGATTTTGCTTCACATTTTCTTAAGTTACACTTTTAGTGCACTGGTATAAATGGTTGTGCGAAGTTATGCGAAGTATGCATAATCAGACCCTAAAAACTGTAAATGGTTTTCATGAGAATCCTTTTAAGGCAGAAATACCCTCGGACGCTTGTAATTGCTTCCTGATCGCTTTTCTCAACTAAATACATCCATATCGTCACTAGACACGAATAAAGGCGCGAGTTTAAAAGTTGACCGCGAAAAAAGACACATAAAAAAACTTCTGCGAAGAAAGACTCTTAACCAGCGTTACCGCTTTGGTAATTTTTTACCAAAACTGGTAATTTTTTTCTTTTTAGGAGGAGTTTGGTAATTTGGTAATTTTTTTTCACAATTTGGTATTTTTTTTAACGTAAGTCTTTCCTTTAAGTTTTTAATACTAACTTAATATATATAAAATTTTATAACTTTGAACCTTCTGACAATTGCACAAAACAAAAAAAATTGCTTATGTACTTACATATGTATGTATTTACACCTTAAGATAGCCAAAAATTGAAAGGGCTCTTTAATGTAACAATTTGCCTTGACAACTCAGAACTTTTAGTATGAGTTTGCAATATAGCAGGAAACCACCCATTTTTCCCAATATGGCGGCTCGATCACAGCCCCTACAGTCTCACAAATCTGGATTTTGTATCATTTTTACCTGCCGGAACCAATGGTGAAAGAAAATAATTTCACGGGACTAATTAAAAGTTTGCGATTAAGTACGAATGTGACCCACTTATAAAATAGTAAAAGTAAATTTTATCTAC